CGCCTAGCGATGATTGACTTATTGATCGTTAGATTTTTTGAAAAGTTTAGAAAACGCGCTCCTTAACCTCAATCTCATAGATATTAAGACATTTCCAAAAAAAAAAAAAAAAAAAGTTGCAAATCTTGGTTTCATCTGTAACTCGCGGCTCGCAACTCATTTTAAGGTGTGTTAAATGAACTTTCTGCCGCTTTATCTTAACAAATAACAGTTACAATTTGCGGTTACACTCAACTTCAGCACTCAACGGAAAACAATAGTTTTACTCAGCCGGAAGACTCGGAACGGCATAGACATAGATTCATCTTTTTCTGAATTAATTTTCCTGTCCCACTTCTATCGCACCTGTTCTCGGCCATGGTCTTATTACGCTCAACATACGAAGCGTAATATTCGAGATGTTTCTGTATCCGCGATATTGAATATTCGACAGGATCGTTTTTACGATTACTTCCAAATGGACCAAAGGCCATATATTTTGCAAAAATTAAAACTTATATTTACGCCTACTGATGGCAGAGGGAAAAATTTTGATGGAATGAGACCTTTTTTTTTTTTTTTTTTTTCATATGAACTATTTTATAAAAAATAGTTTTTCATATGGCAAGCAGGTTCCATACTTGGCCCTTTATAATGAAAATTAGTACAAATAGATTTGGATAATAATAATCGATTCCTTGGGCAGAGCAAGGGCTCTAATGTTACAAGCGAAGAATTGTATAAAGAATATTTATGTATTTAATCGGCCTCACGCAATTTGTTTTCAAAATTGCATATATATTTTCACGAACATATTGGATAATATTTTCAAAAACATAATAAGATGAATAGTTGTGAAGGCTTTAAATTTTTATTTGACGCTTAAGATACGCGAAAGTTTGGTTATCTATGTCGTTAGGTAAAGTTGTAGATATAGTATATGATTCGATTCAGCAGCATACGATCCATAAAATACTTTACATACCTTAAAGCAGAAAAGCAGCCGAACCGTGTATCGTAAAAAAAAAAAAAAAATGCATTTTCAATGCCTCCAATCATACAACGTTTATTAGATGATAAAATAAAATAATTGATATAAAAAAATTCATTGGCGTATATCAAAAATTGCTTGATCATTTTTCTTTATGCCATTAGATTATGATTATTACTAATTGGGTATAAAGTTTTAGTTAAATCTGTGTAATATTTATTGAAAAAATGTTTGCGCGTGGAAACGCACTAATACACTCTCTTTAAAAAAAAAAAAAAAAAAAAAAAAAAAAAACGAAAGACAACTATTCTTGTTTCCAAGTGTTTAAATATTGTGTAAAAACATTTCAATTATTCACGTTCGCGGTGTGACATACTGATGAAACAGGTAAAATATGACGAACGTCTAAGACTGACTTTAAGCCAAATGCCATGAAAATTTGTCGAAAAAAATCGATAACAGTTCGTTAAGGTATGTCTCGAACCATAAGTGCGTAAGTGTTAATTACTACATTTAAATACATACACTTATACATACACTTATATATATATATATATATATATATATACATATATATGTATGTCTATAAAATTGCATAGTCAGTCAGTACCTTATAGTCAACCGAGTGGAATAACTTGATTTGGGTAAATGGCATTTTAAACATACCAAGAAAAGAATTCGAAAATTAAAAACTAGCGAGCTTTACTTGTTACTTTAATATACGCACCGGATACTTATGGTATTTGTTACACACTCATTATCTTATAGTTTGATAATTTTGTTTATCATAATTATTATCTGATCTTAATCAGCGAGAAATAAGACTGCAATGAGCAATGTTGCCTCATCGCCCCTTCTCACCCATTATTCCTTATCGAAGTTCTCACAGACGATGAAAGTCACGCAACTTATTGATGCATTCGTGTTATGAAAATTTTCGTAAATTCCATGATTTGAATTTGAGCCAAGAAGCCACATTCCTAAGAAGGTTTTTTTTTAGTTACCTCATGCATCTGACGATTGTTCAAAAGACTGAGATGAATTTAGCCGAAGGAATTAAAACAAAAATGTCGCGATAAAGTTACGCAAAAAGGTCTATAAGCGAATCTATATTATTCTAAACATCACACGAATTTTGCTCAAAAGGAGTTGAATAAAAATGTAAAAATCAATAAAGACAATTGATCTGACTGAATAGAAAGAAACTTGGAAATGAACTTTAATTACCGCATAAATACACATTCACAATGCAAATAACTTTCTTTCCTACAAGATTAAACTTAAGATTATGAGATAGAATAGGATAGGACAGAATCCATTCTATTTACATAGGTGTCATGAATTCATTGAATCTCTCCAGCATATGTGAATTTTTAATCATCATTCATTTGGAGTATCTATTTAATCGCATCTCTGATAATTGATCAGAGTTCATTTTAAGATTTCTCCATATATAGGGAATTATTCATAATTACCCAGTAAACAACATTCCCAAAATAAATAATAAATAAAATATTGTGCAGAGTGAACAGAATGCTCGTAATGAATATTATATATAATCGCACATTTATTGCATATGTAAATATGTAAATGTGAACATGTATCAATTTCATAATTGTTAGTGAGTCTTATATAGACAAATGAATGTCAGATGTTATTGCGGCAATTTTGTATACTTTTGAAAAAAAAATTTTTTTAAATTCTTTAAAAAAAAATATAAAAAAAATTTTTTCTTTTTTTTTTTTTTTGGCTTTTAAAATATGTGGAAAAAGGTACCTGATTGCAAAGAAATTTTTTTCTTCGAAATTTCGCTGTTTCTCCTAAAGCGCTGCGAAAAGGCTACTCACGTCAAATGAATCGTTGCTGGCAAGTTACAGTCACATGCCATATTTCTTGATTTCTAGCGCATCGAACGCACTAACAAACAAATGACTTTTGGAATGTATATACGCTCGTTGAAAAGCATTTTCCAACAAAAACATGTTAGTGCAGCTTCATTAACGCGACCGTTGAATACAGTTGAGGCTGAGAGCATTTTGAATGCTTTCGATGACTTCATCAAGAGATTAAACGTTTGAGCTAAAGTTTTTTGTATTAGACGTTTTCTTACCTTTTTCACTCTCACTTCGGTGGGCGTGAAGTTTAAAATTGACGATTCTATTGTAGAAAGATGCGGCAGCTACGATAAAAAAAAATCCTCGAGAAAATCGATTGAAAAGAACTATTTGAACAAGGAAGTTAGATTCTAATAGGGAAGAGGAATAAAACATGAAAAGTGCCCCTATTGTCACCAGTAGCACTTATTTGATTTCCTTTCATTTCAAAGCAATTGTCAAAAATACTCTTTTTATACCGTATACCGCTGGCAGTGCAAGAGTATGCAACACGCAAAACGATTTGACCTTAAGTCCACCTTTACTTACACCGATCGGTTTGAAGCCACTTTCCGAATCTATCTAAGTTTGCTTGTCCGTATGTCCGTTTTTTCATTTTTTTCTCTTCGCTTCAATCTCTTGATCGTAATTTTCTATGACATTTGATACACTGACGCGTGTTTGGACCCGAGAACAAACGCCATTAAAAATTGTTCGCACTGAAACGTCGCGTAACGGTTTGTTTTTTTTTTTTTTTTAAATCGTTATGTGAGTAAGTGTAAGTAGAGCCATAACCCACCATACTGTTTTTACTTGTTCAGGAGTAATAACAAAATAATAATAAACTGATAAATTTTAACCCGATTTTCGAATCGAAAATTGTTTATGAACTATATATAGAATGTTATTTTAAGGATATTTAAAAAAATTTGTTTTTTGAAATGTTGGGGCTCGAGAAGAACGGCGTTGAAACGTCAAGTACCCGTATACTCCTTTATATCGAGAAGATCCAAATGGCGAAAATAAAGGTAAGAGGCTGAAATTTAGCACAAACAATCCAACAAGCGATTAGGTACACGAGGTTAAAAAATGTGCGCCAATAGTGCAGAGAAAATTAAGCCAACTTTCGCGAAAACCCCGACATTTTTTTTCTTATATTTTTTTTTTATAACTTTTGATCAATTGAATATATATATTTCTTAAAATTGCTACTCAAATATTCACTTATCATCACCCATATGTTTCCCATAATACATCCACAATTAGCGACAAAATTTTATTTCCAACTTATTTCCAATTTTCCAATGTTGGACGTGTTAGTGAAGCGGTTAAAGCCATTTTTGGACTGACCGGGGAAATGGTTCTAGAAAATGTCTTCACGGAAAGATGCATTGGCAATCTTGTAAAGCACAAATATTCGTAGTTGATGGCCATAGCGATTAAAATTGATTTGGATTGGAAAACCGACAAATATTGCTGCGGAACTTAGAGCATAATTTCCTTTTTTTTTGTAGCTCGTGTAGGATTATTTAATGCACTTAAATTAGATAGGAAAATATCGCTTATAATTCAGAAGAAATGTTGATCGGCACTATTTACATCTGTACATTTTCGTAATGCCGGCCAAACGACGAGAGTAAAAATCGTCCTATTTTACTCAGTTGCATGTCAGGAAAAGCAAAGGTTGACTTTAAAGCGAACATCAATTTCTTACTTATTAGCTTATATTAGCTTATATGGATTTCAAGTATTACCAAGTTGAAGTTGATATGGCCTTGAATACATGCGCTATGCAATCGAATCGATAGTTTTAGACCTTAGCTTTGGAAATTTACGTGATATGGTTACAAGTCGTTGTCGACGTTTTGTCTTACTATACGATCTCTACTCTTTAGCACGTGTCTTATCTTTGCCTTGTAGATAGCATATCGTATCGGATCTTCTTAATATATATTTTTTTTAACAATTTTAAAAATGTTGTAAAGTCTTAAATAAAATCCATCACATTTCCGTTATCGATATCTATTTTGACTTCTTTGACTATTTTGAAATTTCGAATCTGTTTGCCATAATTTAACTTTAGTTAATAGTTATTTGTTTTCATTTAATTCGCAACTTTTTTAATAATCACGAAATTTCATTTCATCTCATTTTAGGCCAATTGGTTCAAAGCAACACAATATTGCAGATATCATGGCATGCATTTGGCCAGCATATCATCACAAGAAGAAAATGATAGACTTGAAAAATATATAAGAGATTATGGTAAGTGCAAAAAAAAAAAATGAGATAATAAAAAATGCATATATGATATATAATTGAGATGGACAGACGCAAACATGTATTACGTTTATTAAAAATTGTTGAAATTACATAAGATCCGTTTTTGAACAATTTTTTTCATTTTTGTTGTTTTTTTTTTTTTTTTTTTTTTGTTTTCTTTCTGCTTTTATGGAGCACTCACATATATATATATATATATGAAATAACTCGTAAAAGAAAGCTATTAACCAGATAGGTATGTGGATATATATGTAAACGTGTAGTTTTCTTTAAAAGACAACATTTACTTTCGCTTTCTGCATGCTTAGATTTATGATATCCGAAGAAGAGGAGAAAGAAATGTTGAAATAGCGAGAATGCGATTGAGAGCGATAGAGAGAGAGAGAGAGAGAGAGAGAAAGAGAGTGTGGAAGAGAGAGATGGAGAGAATTTAAGTATAATTGTGTAAATGCTGTCGCTGCTATTGCAGAGCAACAACAACCACTAAATTGGGTTACAATAAGAGTAATGTAGAAAATTGCAATTACAATTGCAACAATGCCGTTTAGTAACAACAGCAGCAGCAACAGCAGCAGCCACGTTATGGTTGTTGGGAGTTGTTTATACATTGCTGCAGCATACATTATTATAGAGAAAGAAGGAAAACCAAATCAAAAAATATATATCTATATATATATATATATATGATACGTATAAGCGGAAAAGAGTCAATGCTCTTAAATAGGTTACAAACAGACAGATGTCTTGCTGTTTACATATAATGTATGCATGTATATGAACTGTATTGAAAGCATACAAACGACTGTGTTATGATGGCTTATAATACCCGGAAATATAATTTCATACAGTAACGAGATGGATTTGTGCATAAGCATAACTATGCGTATTCTCTATTTCTTGTATCTTGTCGACTGAATTGTAACAAAAGAGAGAATTGAAAAATTGATAGTGCATAAACAAACACGCACATGTAACTACAACGACACGAGAAATGAAAATGAAAATGAAAATGCTTACTCAATATATATATATATATATATATATATATGCACATACTTGCAAAGAAAGCAATTTATACATTTCTAAGTAGTTGTCAAATAGAACAGATATCTTTACAAGACCGGCCAAGCAGATATAATGAGCTCACATAAACAACCAAAAACGAAAAAAACAAAAAAAGAAGAAAAGAAAAATGGGTGACAAGGGTGAAAAACTCTCCTCCTCAAAGCCAATAAACTTTCTTATGTTCACTTTAATTATATTTATTAGCGATTGTTGTGATCATTGTTCAAGTCCTTCCAGCAATCTAAGATGAAGAAGCTTTACGCCTATATTGTCTCAGTTACTAGCAGCTTCTCGGTTGTTTTCATTTCGTTTCAAATTTTTTTTTTTTTTTTTGACAAAGCATATAAATTGTATTTGCAATCGATCCAAAAACAAAACAGAAACAGATTTTTTCACTTTGCTACACACACATGAAATGAAAATAACAAAAAGAAAAGAAAAAACGCTATAGCGGGGCGCAGCCCACTATGAAATACCCTACATTATCTCACAGTCATTCATATATTAAAATATTTCAAAATAATCCGTTACATGGTAAGTGATCCGATCCGGAGTAATTTCAATAGCATTCATCCCGGGGCCAAAACATGTTCGTGTATCAAAACTTCAATAAAATATCTTAAAAATTGTGGCCTGTGGGTTGAGTACACAGAAAGGAAGAGTGACAGCAAGACAAGCATAGATCGAGTCAGAAAATGATTCGGTTAAGATCTGCTTAATTTATATATATATATATATCTGCGCAATGTATGAAACGAGTGGTATAGGGTATAAAAATACAAAAAGGGAGGAAAAAAAAAACGGAGAAATTTTTCCATTTCTAGGTTTATTTCAAATCGAACGAAGGTAACGCTTTTACTTTAATTTTCCCGCATTTTTCTATTATAGGTTTAGGTCATGAGCACTTCTGGATATCTGGCACTGATTTAGCGGATGAGGGTAACTTCTTTTGGATGTCCACGGGACGTCCGATAACGTTTACTAATTGGAATGCTGGTGAACCTAATAATTTCCGTTACGAAAATGGCGAAGAAGAGAATTGCCTCGAACTATGGAATCGTGATGGTAAAGGTTTGAAATGGAACGATTCACCCTGCAGTTTTGAAACGTACTTTGTATGTGAAGTTCAACCCAACTAAGATAAAATTAAGCAAAATAGAAAAAAAAAAGACCGTACACCGTCCCACAACCTTATCTATTATCAATTATAGAATAAGAAATATTTAGTTGATTAGTAAACAAAAATAATAATAATAATAATAAAATATATTTTTGTAAAAACTTCTGATAATTAGATATGTAAGTCAATAAGGTAGCGTATAAGAGAGCTTGGATTCGAAATTCGAATCGTTTTTTGTAAAATTACGTAACAACTTTTTAATTTAATTAGTATTTTTTTTTTTTTTTTGTTTTATAATTATTCTCTTAATTTAATTACCTGAGCGTGTTAAGATGAATTTATAAGAAAAATTTTAATCGGTTATTTTTAAATTGAAGTCACGCATACGTACCGTTGAATTTTTTGCTTTACTTTCATTCGCTTCGGTTATTTAAAAAATTTTTTTTCCATTTCGATGCGATTGACAAAAATTTTGTTTTATATATATATTTATTTAGTTAATAATAATTTTTAAGTTGAGTTAATTTTAGATTTATAATAAATTATCATGTGTATAAAATGTTAAATTAAACGTAGAATTAAATTACAATAATAAAAGTAATTTGTAAGAAAAGTTTCACCTGATTTTAAATGTCGCATTATCGAGCGCTTACACGCCGCCGTTGGCTCATTTAAGGATTTAAGCATTCATTGTTCGCTTAAACAGTGCTTACAATGTGCCGCTCTTGATCGTTCTATTTTCTTTTGGATTTTTTAATGATTATTGTCACTTGCCTGATTATTTCTATAAATCATTTTTAAAATGAAATGACGGAATCGTTCGGCACCCTTTTGAAGCTTTCGAGCTGAAGGTGTACGCGTTAAGTATGGGTGGATGTATGCAGTATTGACAACGACTTAAAGTAGAGTATGATCGATTTAAAACAAAATTTCTCAATTGATTTAAATATGTCTGCTGCTCCGTCCTTTTGTCCATCTCTCCTTCTAATTTCTGTTTACGTATTCTCTGTATTTTTCGAAATATTTTGATGAAATCTGATGTAGCAGCCAAATAAAGTTGTATTTTAAAAAAGTCGTGACATGATTGAAATTTTTCTCCTCCGCAATGAGCCGTGAAAAGTAGTATTTTGGTATATGAAATGAAAGTGAAAAATCTGACTGAAATGGGTTAATTTGTGGAAGTCTCTCTCATCGAGATTTTCTTCCATAAAATGAACCTTTATATCGCAAAAATTTTTAACTTGTTTTTTATTTTATCTTGAAAGTTTGCCCAAAATAATGATTTCAAATATAAATTAACTATGATTGAATCTTATCCCGAATAAGGCAGAGCTGTTATAAAAGGTAAGCCTTTATATCTGGCAATACGTTTCAATGTTCTGTGTCGCAGGATGTAAATAGGGGTATCGAATAATGGCCCATCAGCCTTTTTCGCTTATTATGTGACCTCTTTATTTTTGGTGATTGAATCAGTTGCTTTAACTATTACTGGCATCGTTGAGTAGTACGATTATCTCGAAGAGAGGCACTAAGAATTATCGACTTTAGCGTTATTGATGTTAATCGTTCGCTTAGTCTACATCACCGTAAATTACTGTAGCACTTCATTGTAAGTAGAAAAGTAATTTTGCCTCCAACAATCTCAACACCCAACTCGACCTATCGAAGGCTCAAAAAAACTATGTCAGATACGAAATAAATTATACTATGGCATAGCATGTATTGTGCTATTGCGTAAAGTCTTAAGACAATATTTTAACATGAGAAATTTAGAAAAAATATTATCCGTAGCAAAATATAGCACCAGATACACTCTATAGAAAAATACGTAGACACCAATGACTTTGTAAGACTTAATTACGACTCAATTTCGAAAAAAAGAAGAAAAACACCAGCGACTGACTTATATAAAAGTTTTGCTGATCACTTCTGTCAATTTAGATTCCACAATCCACAATTGTTGCATGAGCCCATTCGTTATAGACGGCATAAAACGAACGATGAACGATATATAAGAGTAATTGTATCTTCCCCTTTATCGTCGCAATTAAGTATGATAGACATTTTGTATATCTAAGCTATTGCTGAGTACTAACAGATTCGACTCAAACTGTTCAATTTTAACAAGATTTGCAAGGCACTTGTAACATGAACTTCTTCAAGTAAGTTTGGATTCAACTTTTCCTTGATATGTTTGCAGAAAATATTTACTTATTTCGCTTTAAACGATGCTTGAGTTTTGATGAAAAGTAATTTCAATAAAATTTTACCATTTTCATTGTTACAAACTTCAGAGTAGAAATAATGATTAGTTTAGTAAGAAAAAAAAAAAAAAATAAAAAAATAAAATAAAATAAAAATCATTTTCCACTCATATACGAGAAACTCATACGTCAATAAACAAACAATTAATTAAAAGTGAAACACTGCACACCGCATGAGAGATCCGGTCTGATAAAGGAAAATGTGAAAATGTGAAAAGAGGAAAATTGAAAGTTATCAATTTTTACAAACATTGCAGATTTCAGTGGAGAGACTTGCTCTATAAAAAAAAAAGAAAAGAAGAAAATTAAAATAAATCCAAAAGAAAGGAAGCCCAAGAACCCACATAAATAACGGTAAACAAAAGCGAAAAAAGTAGAGCAAACAAATTGTGTTTCCTACTACAATGTGTGTATTTTTCACGCTGTGTTCCACTTAAATCGCGGTTAATAAAAGCCTCCGCTCTTAGCCGCCGCATTACAAGACGTTATAATAGTTTTAGTTAAGTTTAACAACCATTTAAGCATGTGTACGAACAAACCCATATTTCCTCTATAACCTCCACTACTATACACGCCCAGGACCCTTAAGCGCAAAAAAAAAAAAAAAAAAAACAATAATAATAATAATAATAATAAGGAAATAAGAGAGGAAAGAAGAAAAAGAATATAATTTTTTGATTATATTAAAGATTTTCTATTCGAGCCGGTTCTTGTATACGACGTCTCAGTAAAAAACACCAAAAAGAAGAAACTTGCACTTGTTTACATCTACTAAAGTTATAAAAGCGAAATTCGGTTATTGTGCACACACATAATCATACAATGAGTGTACATTTGTAAATGAAATTAAACGTAAGTAAAAATGTTCCCTTTAATTTTTTGCTTGTTGGTTGCATGTTTTCCTTTACGAATTGTATTAACAATAGGAAATATTGATGTTCTCTGCAGAGATATTCGATAGAGAATGAAAGGCTATGCGCATGACTTTCGATGGGAAAACACATGATGAATGGCTATAGTATAAGAGTTGAGAGTTGAGAAGAGACTTTTGGTAGCGAAAACAAAGAGACAAAGACAAAGAAATGCACTTAAGAACGCACCTTGTATCCCCATCATTTTCACTTGATCCATTTGATCTGATCAGATTTATATCTTGATCTATATATTATGTATATGTATATATGTAAATGTACATAATAATATCTATATACATATGTACGTATAATCTCTTGTTAAATTGTAGCCATAACTGAAGATCTTCTCATCACTCTGCATAATACTGGAGTAAATAGAGTTCTATGCATGACAAAATTTCTCTTTTTTTTTCTTTTTTTTTTGATCTCATTAGTCACAATCATGGGAAGGCGAAAAGCACATGAATATTGTCAGTCGATCGAAGATATATGTATTTTATACGAATTTCGGTACCGGGACCTTTAAAATCTTCTATTTTGCATTTTGATTATTGTGATAGAAGAAGAAGAGTGCGTAAAAATCGATCTATTAGGCGCATTTAACATTCGTCAAGAGTACGAAGAGTTTATGCTCTTTCGACCATTACCTACGAATTAATAAACTATCGATGAAAAAAAAAAACGATCATTGCTTTGTAGAGATATTTTAGTTAAGAAAAGAATTTAGCCGCTGTGTTTGTATTAGCCTTAGGCGGGGCTTAAGCATGATCAGAACAGCAAATCATATTATTATCACTATTATCGATCCCTTTATTGCTTTAATTTATAAAACTTGTTCTTAACTGTAAACTTCGTGTGCTTAGGCAATTGCTCGATAGACTAGTAAAAGTAAATGAATGGTAAAAACTATCTAAAGATATTTCGAGAAGATCTCCATAGATCTATTGATAGAGAATAACGAAACTATTTTGATTAATAATTAAAAAAAAAAAGAAAAAAAAAACACCAACTTTCAGCTGCAAATTATTCATTTATGATAAGAAAAATTTTTATTTTAATTTTAATAAAAGAAAAAAAATCAAAAAATCACCTGTTAACCACGTTTTCGGGATAATTAGCGTTAGTGTTTGGCAAAGCTGACAAGCTTTTGATTTAAACAGGACATCGAAGAGTTCAAATGTTAGAATTTCTCTTACACGCCACGATACGAAACACAAACACGCACCGCATTCTCATATCCATCCTAACCCAAAAAATGTAAGAACCATGCTATACTCTCTGAGTTCTTGAAATAAATGTCAAGTGTTATAATAGGGTTTCGGTATTTGTATATGTGTGTATGTGTGTATGTGTGTGCGTGTGTGTTTATGTGCATGTGTATGCGTATAATATGTATATACATGTAAATTAATGTGTAAGTGTGCGGGCGTCTAACTAAAGAGCGGCTGGCTGCTGTGGCACGGAAAATTTTTCTTAATCGAAATTTTCGACAGTTTTTTGTAGACATTTATATGTAGCGGACGTGTTTTGAGGGCAAAATACAGAAAATTCTTTAGATAAGGAAACGTAACAGAAATCAGTCATTTTTCTTGTGTCTCTTGCGTTTCGTTGGTCTTTTCTTTTTTTTGTTATTTTTGTTTTCCTACGGAATTGAAAAAGCATTCGATAAATACTATATACGAAAACTCCGAAACAAAAAAAAAAAAACAAAAAAAATCACTAAAATCAAATAAAGAAAAAAAAAAAAAAAACAAACTCAAGAAATTCGTTTTAAAAAAAATTTGGGAGAAATGAAAAAAACGAAACAAAATATTTCTGAAATTTTGTTTTAAAGGGGTAAAAACAAAAAAAATAAAAAAATATGTGAAAAATTATAATTAAAAGGGCGGATAATACTAATAGAAATTTGATTAAAAAAAAAAAAAAATTAAAAAAAAGGACATGCTGCAACAACAACAATAACAATGCAATGCAGTGGAATTTTCAAAAAATTTGAGTTCAAGATGTTATATGCATTTCAATACGAAAGAAAATTCTTTTTTTTTATTTTTTTTATTTTATTTTTAATAACTACAAATTATATTAGTGTTTTAAAAAAAATGTATGTTAAAAAGAATATTTGAAAATATAGAAAAATCTCATGCCAAAAAGTAACATCAAAATGACGCCAGAAATCGTTAACTAAACATAACAAAAAATTAAAAATTTTATCTTAGAAAACATATATATATATACATAAATATACTAAAAATGTGCCAAATAACCATCATCAGCAATAATAACAACAACAACCACAAAAAAGGCTAAATTAATAATAAAAAAAAAGCAAAGACATATATATATATATATATATATATATATATCTTGAGGAACAAATCATTTTTAACACAACAAAAAAGAAAAAATATATTTATAAATAAATAAATAAATAAATAAATAAATAAAAATAATTGGCTTAAAAGATTATTTGTTTGGTTTTCTTATGTTTATACGATGAGTGTCATGGTTATCTCTTACATACGCACTCATACATCCCTTATAAGCATATAAATATTTAAAAACATGAAATGTCAACGAAATGAAAGTCAATGGCTATGGTTATGCGTTTAGAATTTACATCACATTTCGTACAAATGCCTGATGGGCTTTTAGAGGCTTACGTTCTATCCTACTCGGTGCATGCATACAATATATAAAGTGAAAAGCGAAAGAACTGTTTAAGAGTAATTTTTTCTTAAAACACTTTAAGATGCGTCGTTGTTGTCAGGTTTGTGATAACGATTAACCAGAGACATGAATATGCATATAAATGAAGAATGTAATAAGAAAAACAAAAAAAATAAAAAAATAAAAAAATAAAAATAACAAGAAAAACTTTGCACAATGCTTACCACAATCATTTTTATACATACAGAAACATATACACACACACATATATATATATATATATACATATATGAATATCTTGAAAATCTAATGTCGAACTGTTAGTGTGCAAAAGACTGCTTTTTTCCTCATTACTTATATTAAAGGACCAACATTGCAGTAAAGTTTTATTGCAGTCATAGAGCATGACATTTCATTATAAGGGTGTACTTTGCTTTATACCCATCACAGGGGGTGTATTACATTTACGAAATGTTTGAAACGCATAGAAATATGCATCGAGACACTATCACCATAACGAATTATTCTGGAAAACAGCTTGAACAACACAAGCGTTTCAATCATGTCGGGCTCTTTGTCCGTCCGATTCGATTACGATCATGATTTTCAAAATTTTCCAAGCCATAAATTCTCCTTAGATTCGATTGCAGTTAAATTTGTTTAACAGCATATTAGCATAATGGGCACGGCTGTATAATAGGAAAAAGAAAATAGAAAACCTGCTACCTTTTGATTGAATGAAGATCTCGTCTACAATAACGAGATTTTAGTTGAGTCACGGAACTTGTCCTTAATAAAATATTTTCTTCAACATCATCGAAATCGAATCAAGCGAGCATCTGTATACATGTGTGTATGCTTTTAGTTGTGCCGCTGCTCCCGCTGATGCCAAATGTCCTGCTACGGTCCGACATACATCTTCTAAAGCTAATGAGGGGTATTAAGAGATTCGTTCCGAGCTAAGTATAAATATATTCCTTTTCATTTTCCTTTTCTTTTTTTTTTTTTGGTTTTGTTGTTTTAGGCTAACAACATCAGACAGAAATCAACCACCCACTAACTGACAAGTATAGTGTACCTTTATAGAAGGTATGCAAAGGGAAAGACAAAAAGCCCAAACAAGTAATGAAATGAAATCAGATCTCGACTTCCTAGTACTTTTACTCTTTGGTAAAGTGAAGTTTTTTTTTTTTTTTGCATAAGCAGCTGTCATAGTTTCTGTCTTTCTGTCTCTCAATCGTTCAAACGTTAGTATAAAACTGCTCTAAGCTTTTGTACAGTATTGGAGTGATACTAATATTGCCCTTTTCGCTTATCCCATAAGGAAAATGTATATACTCGCGACAAGAAAACCGATATATAGCATAGAGCACATAGTAATAGAAAATTTCACATTTTTTTGAAATTCTTTTTGAGATCAAAGATCCTTAAAATCGATTAAAAAATTTTTAAAAGCGATGCTAAAATTATCTTCCTATTCTTTCATTTCGTTTTCAAATTTTAATGCGATCCCGTTCTTAGATCTAATGGAATAAAGTAAAAAGAATTACAAATTATACATATGAACGAATAAAAATGAAAGTTGAAAACGCTTTACATATTACGAACTGAATTCTTCGATAGTAATCTACGACAAGTCGCAAGTTTCTATTTGTTTAATGCTCGATTTGTGTAACAAGATTCCTTATGTTAATCCGTTTTAGGTGATTTTCTTTCAAAGTTTTTAATTAAAATTCAATTCCCCATAAGTGATGTCAAGTCTCCGGTTTATGGATAAAAGCAATCGTGGCAATCGTAAACAAAACTGCGAACGGAAAAGCGAAGAAAAGCGTAAAGTTTATGGAAGATATTGAAAAACCTGTGGAAGGAAAACATGGACAGAGAAAAACGGTGTTTTAAAAAAAATACTTAGACCAAAAAGAGGAAAAACAAAGATACTTTTTTCTTTGTAAGTAAATAGTAAAGAAAACATATGTTCTACGACAGTGAAGCCAAGTTAGATATACTAATTCTGAATAAATTCTATTCTTGTTTTTGTCAAAGCCTTTATTCAAGCCTCAATTTTTTAGAGAGCGCGACAAAAACACTATTAAGATAGCACTACATAGAAAAAACAAAAATATATATATATATATATATATATATATATATATATATAAATAAAACGACTATCATTATTCTGAAATTAAGCTCACTCATCTCTTAGGAGCAACGTCGCGACTTGATTTGACTCGAAGCTATTTCAAATCGACCATAAGGTTCTCTCAATTGTGAAAACTCTTGAATTCGAATTCGCCCCAAGGCTATAAACTGAAAATCTTAGAATTTCATGCCTATAATTTGGGAAAACTTCGAACCGGCCGAACAAAAAAGATTGAATTTATTGAATGAACCGATTTTGCGATTAAAGTCGTTTTTTGCAAGCAAAGCAATTTCGATTTTAAGACTATGATTTTAATAGCGAGACAGATAGACTGTCATGGCTTAATCGATTCCGCTACTATTCATGTATTTTAACTGTGCATAACCCTGTGCAATATGTTACAATTTTATTAGAAATGTTCGGGTAATCTGCTATAATTCAGGTAGTAGTTGAAAGAGGTTAAATAACAGCTAATATGTGGTGGACTATTAACCCCAAAAAAAAAAAAAAAAAAAAAAAAAATTATAATTACGCATACGGGTTAATATATATATTTATCATATGGTTTTTAGAAGACTATTAGACATGTGTGAATATATGTCCTATCTATCGATCTAACTGTAATCCATCTATTAATATATCTTTTTATTTCGTTAACTATGTGTGTGTGTGTGTGTGTGTGGAAAGAATTTATTGGAAAAGTTGTACAATATAACCCGATTATTGTTGAATGATCTTTTAATATCGCATCATGTTGCGAAAATCTTGCATTTTATCTATAGAATTGAGACTTTTTTTTTTGTTTTTGAACCATTCCAATTCGAACAATATATAACTGTGCTGTAAATGACAATCTGTCTATAATAACCCTAACGAACAAATAAATGACTCGCAACATCGTCAAGCAAATATCTAACTCTTTTTCCCTATACAATTTATTTCCAGTTTGGTCAAACCTTTACATTAAAACTTGACCATTAACAACCATTCATATTTAACAACAACAACAACAACAGCAACAATAGCAGCAATAACAACAAAACAAGAAAAAAAGATTAAAAAAAAAAAACTACGTAAGTGACAGTTATAGCAGGACTCACTATATACGCAGTCTATTATATACCTGTATACATACTGTAAATATAGAAATGACGTCTGACATCTGCTTTTCATTTAGCAGCAACATCAGTTACATGGTTGAATGTATATATATATATACGATATATATATATATATATATATATATATTGAATGCATATATCCATGTGTATGTATGTATGTTGAAATATATTCAATATTCTTTAAAAAAGCTAATATTTGTCTAGCCAAGTTTATGTAGCATTTTTGTCGTCCTGTTGCCGCTTTTATTGTTGTTGTGCGATTTTAATTCACGGCTTTTGTGTACTTCCGTTTTATTACTTTGTGTTGATTTTTTAGGGAGTCGTTTTTAGGTCCTCTCGTTTTTCCAATTTTTCCCTTGCATTATTCAACGGAACACGTATATTTCGTTTTTACATTTTCCCTTTACATAATAAATTTATATACACTCGCATATAAAATTTGCACTCCACGCAGTATGTTTGTCTTTCAAAGAAAACCTTTGGTTTGCAACTTTTTGCACTTCTTCTTGTTACTTTATTTTTCAGGGTTCAAATTTTTTGTGAAATTGTGCAGTGTCGTGCTTACTTCGAAAATTTGTTACTTTTTTTTTCCTTTTTTTTTCATATTGCATTCACTTACTTGTTCATGCTTAAAGTACGATAACATGAAACGAATAGCAAGAGCATTTATTGCTCGTTCATGTTTAAGTGTCGTTTGGATTTGAAAACATGCTGTTAAAATATATCAATTTTGAAGGTATTATTTTATTTCCTTGGTGTTTATTATGTTTTATTACTTAGACTTTGAGTAAAACTCATACAAAGTCAATTTAGTTTATGACCGCCTTTCATTATGAAATCTTGTAGGAAATATCTCGAAAGCTTTAAAGTACATAAGAATACCACATAAACTAATAACCACTTTTGAGTTTTACGATCAAAAATTACTTAACATAACTTTCAATATTGTGCCTTAAAAAAGTAGTTTGCAATATTTTCTCATTTTGATTTACAGCCTAAAGTAGGCAACAAATTTTCGATACCCCTATTCAAGAGAAAGCATATTAGCTAAGAAGAAAATTTCAAAATATCGTATAAGTCTTATTTTGTGTCGCGTAATAAAAAGAATTTACCACTAGAACCCATCGCATTGATCAATTTAATACTTTTGAACTTTTGATCTCCAAAAAAAAAAAAAATAAATAAATAATAAATAAATAGTGATAAGGCACACACAGATACAAAATTTTTGATGACTTTTATTTATAGAAGAAAAGATCAGAAAGTTTTTTATTCGATTTAGTTGGCATGTAAGTAACTCTTTCCACTAAAATGAGCCAATTGGATCCATAATTTTTTCCGAAATTGCTACTGTTTGTAGAAATCAGCATAAACTTTCCTTAATCGATGTAGAATTCAAGGTGAATACCTATTGACACATTTCATAAGCAGCTGAAAATAAAATGGAATTTGCCTCACTTTCTTACCAAGAGTGGGCTTGTATGTAGGCAGGGGATAATCATTTTTTAAACTTGACTTTTTACTTGGACTTGGACGATTCCACAAATATTAAATGGCTTCAGTTGATCTATTTTGGTAGAAATAAGTGTGTACGACTCGTCGACAGCTCTAAAATCAACCATGACGTACTAGAGCGAGTTGTTTTCGTTTATCGCAAATGCAAAAAAAATATCAAAATAACTTTCAAACTGTGAGACGTCCACGGATGACAAAACCTCTTGTTCTTTTTAGTGAAAAAAAAAAAACCTTTTTCTATCATAATTCGTTTGAAGATTTGAAATCGAATATTATATGTTAGTCGTGAAGTTAATGGTTATAAAATTTTTCTATAATTATACCGCATATCTTGAATAAAAAAAATTTCTTCTTTTTTTTTTTGTCGACAAA